TTTGTGCCTAAGGTGGGACTAGAACTCACAGTCTCCCAGTTTCTAGCCTGGGGCCTTAACCACTACACCAGACTGGCTCAGATCGTCAAAATGTCACTGGCTGTTTTTATGAGGGAACATTTACCTTAACAGGAAAATTATCTACAGTATTATTCTTCTTAATCCATTCTTATTATTCTTTCAGCCCAGCTTCAGCCCACCTTCCTTCCTTCCTCCCTGCCTCCCTTTCTTGAATTCATTGGAGTTTTTTGCATGCAAGGGATTGCATGGAGTTTTGCCAAATTATGACCAAGAGTGTGGGAAGACATCTCCATGCATCAGGTAAGGGTGATGAAACAGTAGGAAAGGATTGCACTGCGTGCACCATTCAATGTATATTAAAGCGAAAAGTCAGCAGCCCATGCCTTGTTACTAAAGGTCACCCTGGAACAGCAAAAGCTGGGGAAATAAAGCCACTTGTGAAATATATCTACAAAGCATCTTGCTTACAGCAGTGTTGACAGACAAGCTTATAGGCAAGTGGGCCATGGAAAAGTACAAGAAGAATATTGGCGATAATGGCTAGCTAACATAGCCATTGGGTATATTGACTGGCAATTATGAGAGTTGTAATCCAGTATATCTGAAGGGCAGCTGATTGAGGAAGGGTCAGACCGTAGAATTTCCTAGGGAAGCACTTGAGCAGCCTGCTTGAGCCACAGTGCGTCATGTTTCCATTCTGAAGGTCAGAGGTATACCTGGGCCTTTCCCCTCTTCCTCAACTCACATTGACAAAATACATAAGACACTTTTATACTTGAATGGTACTAATGTCTGACCCAAATGCATATTTGATTATTTATCAGAAGCGATCTTGCAGTTGTCAGGCGTTTTGCTGGCAGAGTTTTGAATGGAATTCTACCAGGCCCTTTGATCCATCTCCAGTGAATGTGAACTATGCTGCCTCTTGTTAACACAGTGTTGCAGCTTTGCCTCTGAACATTGCTGTGTACGGGAGTCCTTCATGATTAGTGCTGTTGAGAATGTAGCTGAAAGGTTTCCTGAAGAGATCCCAGCACCTGCACTCTATTTCTCCATGAAACCAGTATAACAGTTAAATTAAACATTATCTTATGGGAAGGAAAATCAGTTCATTATCAGTTAAACTTTTGGCATATAAAATAAAAATCTAGGATGCAAGGTACTGCTCTATCAACCCTAACCATGCCCACTTTGATGTTGCCCTAATTGGTGGATTCTTTGGCAAATGGAACAAGGCTGGCCAGTGTATGGTTTGATATGGCCTTCTATACTTTTTGACAGAAAACTTATTCAACCTGAAGCTCAATTAGACCCAGCAGCTGCTGCATCTAAAATAAGCTTATCAAACTAGAAGCTGAAATCACTACCTGATAAATGGACATGCACAATTGGGTTATAGGTGCTAAAGGTGTGATTGCTCTATCATGCAACTAAGTTAAACCTTTGAGGATGCTTTTAGGTGACCACCCTTCCTATCCACAAAGCCTTGTGCTATTGATTTATAGTCCACTCAGTAACGTTCTGGACTGTGTAGACCTACTGCAGACCATTCTGCAAACTGGAAATTTATGAAGACAGTGCATATTTACCTGCTGGGGCCCATCAGCCAATGAACGCTTGTCTTTTTTGGCCAAGAGCCAAATCCTAGGAATGCCAGCTGATCAGTACTCAATTGCTGGGCAGAAATTTACCATCTTGTCTCACCACCCCAGCGTCGCACCAAAACACAAACCTCTTCCCCTAAATGTAAAATAAATAAATAGGATACATTTGTACTGTGTCCGGGGTCACTTGATGATAGAACATGCTTTTCGTGCCTTACATTCAGCCATTTCAGCACCTTCTGAGCCAGCACTCCAGTAAAGTGAAATAGCAGCATGGAAACAGGGTGAGCCAGGTGTCCCCTCTACTATTTTCCTGTGCAGAAAAGGCAACACAATACTTCTGCCTCCCCAGCAACATCTGGTTCTTCCTACTTAGAGGAAAAGTTGACAAGCTTGCTACTGGATTGAGATTGCCTGCACTTGGAGGCAATTTCATGGAATCATTGGCAGAGAGTGTGTCATTTCACTCCCTTGATGGATATATAGACCCATCTGGCAGAGCCCTGAGTGACTTTACAGTGTTACCAGGGCTTGTTGTACTGAGTAGCCATGTTTTTTAAGTTTCCAGCCCAAATTTACAAGGATAGTGCTCATTCTGGAGGAAAATGAGAATTGATTTGCTTCTGGTAGAGAGATATTTCCATGCTGCCTATTGTTTTCAACTGGTAGCATTATGGAATGGACCAGGGCCTTCTGACTATGTCCTGCCATCACCTGTACACCTTGCATATTACCCAGCTCACTGTTTAAGCCTTGAACAAATTACTTGTCTTGTAGAAATGGTCCTCAAATGTTACATCAGCAAACTGCTTCCTTAATTCTCACTCAGTAGCAGTAACCATTACACCAGGAAGCAGTAGAAGGCAATGGGAGAGAAAGTAGGGACAACCCATTAATCTTACTGAAAAACCAGCTCCCTCAAGCTTCTCCTTTGCCCGATCATATCCCTTTCTTATGATCTTAATACCACTGTATTGTAATGCACTATCTCCAAATCTTCACCAACCTGATTCCTTTCAGGCATAGGATGATCATTCCCAGAATTCTCAGCCCTCATGCCCATTGGCCGTCTTGCCCCAATGTGGGTGCAGGGGAGAAAGTTGGAAAAGGCTATTAGAATGATTACTAAGATAATGCATGCAAGAGTATTTAGCACACTCAAATGTCCCATATCAATGCAGGTATTATTTAATTGCCAAGTCACCCATATTCCTGTGAAAGAAAAATGTGAAAATGTTAAGGGAACTAAATGCACTTATTAGATGGAAGGAACTATAAATATATATTCCTTTATGGGTGTTCTTCAAAGCAGCTGAACCACTTCTGGAAAGCTTTAATTGGCAGGAAATGCATCTTCAAATGGCGCTAAGTGTTCACCCCAGCAGCCAGAGCCAGGATACCTGGAGTTGTTAAGCAAATCAATGGGCTGGTGAAGTCAGACTTGCTTTTCATACCTTTACAGATGCGGAGGGGACATTTTTCCTATTTAAAGAGGTTCACACTAAAGCAAAGCCAAAACAGAGAGAAGCCCATGGCTGTTCTCCAAATGAAACAGCCTGCAATTATTACCAGTAATATGTATTTTATTATTCTTAGACAATATCAGTTCACTTTGGGATTTATGTGTGCTTTCTTGCATAAACGTTGTGACCTGTATTATGCCATTTTGTAAAATTTAACTAGACATTTCATCTACTGGAATTTGTTTCAGTAATATGTAAAACTAGTATTATATAAATATTATATAAATATTGATAATCTCACTGAAACTGCACATGATAGAGCACATACTTGAACAGGGAGACATCTGGCAATATCAGTTTTTGCTTGGATAGTGTACACAATAGAAATTTAGGAACAGCCTTCTAGCCACTTAAAAGTATTTTGTAGCTTAATGTTATCTAGAGTGATGGGCAGTAGCTAGGACAACTGGATCTGGACTGCAGAAATCTGTGTGACCATTAGATAGCAGCAAAGAGCTAGAGGTTTCTCTAGTTCTTTGCCACCATCTCCTGATCATTCAGATACTTGCAGCCAAGATCTGGTAGCACACCCAAGCTTTCCCTCAAGAGTTGTTCCAGCTATAAGAGAATGGGCTGTAATTTTCTCCAGGCAAGGCATATGTTCTGCTTCTGAGAGATAGCCCTTCCTACATAAAATGAAGGCAAATACTGTACGGCAAACATGTGTTTCATACGAGTATGCTCATTAGGGAGCCAGGATGGAGGATAGCTCCCTGTTGACCAAACATTTCAGAGCAAATCTGGGCTTGCCTTCTGTCTTAAAGTGTGAAACAGCCTCCCATTTCAAAGTTCCTCTGAAACAGGTTCTTTATATATATATTAAAAAAAAGGGCTTCCTTAAAAAACAAACAGTGATTTTATTATTAACAATGCATCTCCCAGCTTTTGGGCACTTAGAGGATCAATTTGTCAGCTGATAAAATGTAATCAAAGTATGTGTAAAAGAAAATAGAGAATTTCCTGTCGGTCCCAGGTTTAAGGGTTTGGGATGTACTGTATATATGTTTGTGCTTTGAGGATTTTAGCTCCTTTAGTCTGACAGGATGATCATTTTTGTTTCACGTGTATGAATATTTGTGCTAGGTATCTTTTGGGGTGAATTGTGGCCTAGGAGATAGGAAGCGTTCCACACTGAAAAGCTGAGGGGAGATTAAGTAGATGCTGGATTTTGATAGGATTGACAAAGCCTAAATATAAGATGACTTCTAAAATCATTTGCTCCAAGAGATCTGAAACCTGTTCTGTCTCTGGGAGTGAATGAACAAGATGTCTGTTGGCTGAGAAGTAGAGAGCGTACATTGCAAAAATGACAGAGGGAAGAATAAAGATGTTAAATACTGAAGGGAAGTTGTCAGACTTGAATTTGAAGGACATGGAATCATTTTGTTGTATAGCAGGGATGGTGTGTGTGTGTATGTGCATGTTTATCAAAAGTCTATCATTCTTTTCCCCAGAGAAAAAGTAAAACTGGGACATAAAATGGGGATGATTGAGAAAAGTGGAATATGAACTAACAGCGAAGGAACATACAGTGTTTCTTCCTTGTGTGATGTGGTCAAGAACATTGTTATATCCATAAGATGAAAATAGACTCATGGGGTTCTGATACAACCTCGTGTCTAAGTAAAGGTTATATAATCAGATTTGTATACTATTTTATCTGAAAGCTCAGCGATGGCTAAAATCACTTCTCCCCTGAAGAATTATCCTTTCTTCTCTTCAACACACATAGAAAAAAAACCATCTCCTCCCAGTGCACCCACATCCAGATTTGGAAGACCTATTTTGGAGCTGAAGTGCAGGCGTGTTTCAAATGATCCAGCAGCTTACTCTTCCGGGGGGGGGTGGCGGAGGGGGGAAAAGCAATGGAAGGCTTGCGCTGACTGCTGTGACCGTCTCCTTCCACAGCGGAAAACGATTCAATAAATAAAGGTGTGATGACCATACCGAATGCTAAATACTTCCAAGAGTGTAAGGATGCCAGATGGTGTACCTGGAAGAAACTCTTTTGGTTCTATTGTTCATCAGCATTCCACAGTACCTAAGAGTCACCATTTGTCATCTGGGTCCACGCATCTGTAACAGTTGTGCAGAACATGGCATTTTGCTCCACTGGATATCTGTAAGCATCCAGAGAGTTGATTATTAACTATAAAGCCCTACAGAG